GCGCGATTTGGTCCACTAAGAAAAAAGTTATGAGCAGAAAAGCGCCAAAGCATTTCACCGAAGACTTTTGAGCGCTACTGTAACATATCCAGCTACCACTTTCTTGTTTGTTCAACCATCTAATGACCGAACTGCCTACCCACAATCAATTCGTGCTTCTATATGAAACTCGAATCCGCCCACTGAAACCCTATGGAAATCTTGTGGATTTTGCATCTTACATTCGACCTTGAAGCATCTCTGATCGAAGATGGACATCGATCTTGTCAACCGATCGCGTTATCGTTGAAGTCTTCCGATACGTTATGCACATACAAATAAATGGAATTGCTACAAAAGGGCATAGCCAGCGTCCTTTCATAGTATTTTTCTAGCATTTTGGGAGAAATAAGGACTACTGTGGAACTTTCGGCGAATTGTATAACCTGCTCAGTTGAGCAGCAGCATGCCAAAAACAGTGAATTCTTCGACAAAAATACGGGATCAGAAGCGTGTCATTTCGGTTCCAGGGTACGTCCTTGTTGAAGTAGACATTATCATAGACGTCTGAAAATATGGCAAATTTAGTTTTGTCGACTTCTCATACGTAAAAGCAACGACACCTAACACTCAAAGCGCTGTGTCCGTCAACGTCAAAAATGGCAAAAGTCCGACTCCCTCAAGTCCGCACAAGCCTAGGATCAATAAAACAGAGAGCAAGAAGAGCTCCTTTCTGGTGAGTCGTTCGTTCCCTAATATTCTAACTCATCTCAAAGTAGAAAATTGTAGTAGGTCATAGTTCTCATATGGGAGTTCATTCGGCTGTATAGTTGCCAGAAATGTACCTCCAACTTTATGCTTTATGACAATGGAGAAGATGGGGGTAAAGGGGGAAAGGAAGGAGGGTGCGGCCGTAACCCATGTTCTTGGGAGAGTCCCCTTTTGTTTTGAAGATCTTTCACAGCCTGAGATCCTATAGTAACCTCAAGTTTTGAACCAAACTACTCAGTTCCACATTTGATATAGTTCACCTTTACTTTTTGCTTCCGAAGTCCTATGAGGACAAAGATTTTCGCTCGTATATCATCGTTGAAAAATAATATCATCCATGCGTTGACATATGAGAAAAACACGCTGACCAAAGGGAACACGATTCTCATGGTGAATATCGGACCATCCTGAAATGGAAACACCATTTCCAATGGTATTCAAACGTTGAAATGTTACCATATTTAATCTCGAATTGAAATTCGAAGGTAGCTTTCAAGATGAATTTGTGACAGTCGAAGGACTGAGCTCCCCCCCTCCCCAACCTCTTCTTTTCCCCCACATTCCCTCCCACTCATAGCTTTTTTCTCTGAAGCTTTAATTGTTGACAGTTATCATAGAGCCAACTGTTGTGTTACCATGCTATGCTCACTTCCTTCCTATGGGAAGGGTATTTTAAAATCCTATAGAAGATCTTACATTTGAGTTGAGCGAATATATGAATTGCATAATATGGTAGACCAGGAACATAGTGAATCCAATGAACAGTCCGAGCATTTGAATATAAAGCCGACGTTCTCGTTGTAAAGATCTGAAAAATGGGGCATTAAATCGACTTCTTACGGTATGTTCGAGTAAAGCCAGTATAACTAACATGGAAGTACTGTAACGATTTTGCATGAGAAACTTGAATATAGCTCCATAACATGTACTGCACAGAATAAAAGTAATGCTGACAAAGACCACTGTCATAGAAGTAGCGAGCTAAACAAATAAGCTGTACTGAAATCTTATATTGCATCCATTTTTTAGTGACTTCACCTGAGGGCGAAAATGGTGGTAGTGCAAAGTAGAGCCAGGGACTCTTGGACCTCTATGATACAGCTAACCCGACCCAGATTCTTCCTACATTGCGGAATAGGGTGACTTGGTGGGATATGTTTGTCCGAGGCTTGAGAAAGCCGAATGGGTTCTGGCCAATTTCGAGGTTCCGAATGGAATTTCACTGTGGGTCGCACCCCTGGGTAGATTTTATGAACGTGCAGCGTTTTGACTTCATCCACTACTTCCCTTGAATTCTTTTAGGTTGGCCCGAATGCCTAGAACTACCTCGAAGTTTGCACCTAAATATGGGAAAACTTTTGTCCTACCCCACATACGCGCTCCATGACCAAATAAAATGCAATAACCATAATCACTTATTGATACAGTGCCAGGCCATTCGAATTTGGCCTATACAATGTGCGCTCCAACGAATCATTGGATTACCGCGACACGCGATAGTTGCGACTACAGCGGCACGTCGCTCGGGTATAAATTCCCATACTCGAAAATAGTAACAGTAACTCACGGTTATCGCCTCCTTTTCCACAATTACTTGGAGATTGTCCCGAGATAAAAAGCTGCCATGACTCCAAAAGTGAAGCGGAGTTGAATAGACGGCTGGAATAGTCCAGTGAAGAATCGGAAGCATCCATCGATGCGATACATTTATTAGCTGAAAAAATCAGTTTTTCTTTCGGTTTGGAGAAATCCATCAAACCAAAGCCACCTGCTCAATGCGGCTGCCATTTCTGCACAAAGAAATATATCGCTGAAATGTTATAAGCAAAACACCAAAGCATCGTATAATCACTGATATATAGGTCTGATTAAAAGCCCATGTGGCTATGAAGTAGTCTTGATAAGTCCAATAAAAGTCGCCGAACAGTTCGAATACGCGTAGCGACCAGAAAAGAAAATAGTTCGTCATCACCACAAAATCCACAAAACCCTTAATCGATTACCAATCGAAGAATGAATGAATCGTATTTAGGGAAACTTCATCACAACGATTCCATGTCGAGGTTCATGGACTGTCGAATAGGGAGCAGCTTAAACGGAACTGTACCTGGGAGAGAATAAGTAAGTAAAATGTCCGTTGCATATAATTATGTTTCCATTCTTTTATACAAACAATAATGATTGATATGTAGAGTGGAAGAGAAAAGCCGTTTACAGTTAAAAAAATTATTTGGGACCATGCTGGGATCATGGTTCTCGGTGCCTGAAACGGTAGTTTTCATAGGCACAATCTGAAAACAAATCTTTTGAGAAAGAAAATCTCTCGAAATTCGAAGTGGACAAGAAATCTGCTTGGTTACGGTGTTCCAATATATAGAGTAATCACTCTAGACTGAGAAACTAAACGCTCAGAATCAAAACCATCTGCTCAATGCGGCTATCATTTCTACAAAAAGAAATGTGTCTTTTATCTTTTGAAAACCCCTCAAGAAGCAAAAGAAAACCCCATGGGAAGATCCGTTCCCTTGATGGTGAATTCTCCATAAATTCTTTTCTCTCTTACACTGGAACACTGGTTATGCTTTCCAGACAGTTCTGAGGGAAGGTTTTTTAACTTTGAACAAGTTCAAATTCATTTTTCCTTTCATGAGGTTTCCGAGGATAAAAAACGGACCCCATCGGAAGTGTCTGGCAATTTGAAACCAAGGAGTATGATTGAAAGGTTAAAGATGGTATACTGGTTCAGATTAACCAGTATACCTTCTTCAAAAACATCTTACCGTATGAAGTTTCAGTCACAAAAGTGACTTATTCCTTGGGATGGGGTTTCATTGTTTACAACGTATACAATGGTATACAATTATAATTCATGAGAAAGTCTGTTGATATTGTTTCCACCTCTGTGGAATGCGAAGGAAATTGTTTTGCAGCGTGAATTAAGGAATTCTCATGTTTCAGANGATGGGGTTTCATTGTTTACAACGTATACAATGGTATACAATTATAATTCATGAGAAAATCTGTTGATATTGTTTCCACCTCTGTGGAATGCGAAGGAAATTGTTTTGCAGCATGAATTAAGGAATTCTCATGTTTCAGAAGCAGGTGAAGCAATCACGGAATGCGTTGTTTTTCGCCTAAGTTGGGAAGCCTCCCTCGTCTGTTAATTTTTCCCACGCTTATTGAAAATCAGATACACTTCCGGTATGAGTCAGATCTCAATACTGGCTTGATTAGAATAGAGTAATGTTCCAAACCTAAATCACGAACTGGTGGTTGATCAACCAAAATTTTCACATTCCTGAATTAGCCAGGTTAATTCAAGACGTACTTCCCCTCCTTCACCCTGACGGAAATCCCGCGCCGTCGTAGGGTCCGCTATTCTTGTCAGCGGTTTCCACCTCCTACTACCTACGGCATCTTCTGCCGTCAGATTAGTTTGGCAAAATCCCTCTTGACCACTCCCGCCACTCATTTTTGAGGTATGAAGACCCCGCTTTGGGTTTTCGGGGTTCAGGTTACTGGTTTGAATTGAGTAGAGGAATGTCCTAGACATAAATTACGCAATGGTGGTTGGATAATACCGACCGAATTTTCAGCTTTCTGAATAAGCTTGATTAGTTCAAGAAATACTTCTTCCTTTTTTCCCTAGCGTTAGTGCACGCCGTCGCGAGGTTCGCGGCTATTGCCCGACGTCTCCACTTCCTACTAGGCATCTCCTGCCTTTACGTTAGATTCATCGAACTACTTCTGATCAGGTCCCATCTTCTGTGAGGCTCCTTGTGATCGCTTACCTTGATCCTAAAATTCCAATGCCCGCCCCTACCCCCACCTCCGTTCCCCTCCTCCACCCATCTCTCCCCTCGACGGATGAATCTGTGTTCTTTTTAGTACATGCCCGAACCCTAGACGCTGCTAAATCATCATCAGCTGAACAGAGGAAGAGTTCATGGTCGCCCTGACGCCCTC